AGGTACCCCAAAATCATCAAAAACCTGGGGGCAGGTATCCCAAAATCCTCGAAAACCTGGGGGCAGGTACCCCAAGTTCCCCAAAATCATCAAAAACCTGGGGCAGGTAGCACACAATCATCAAAACCTGGAGACAGGTACCCCAAAATCATCAAAACCTCCCGAAATCCTCGAAAACCTGGGGGCAGGTACCACAGAATCATCAAAATCCTGGAGGCAGGTACCCCAAAGTACCCCAAAAATCTTAAAAACCTGGGGCCAGGTACCCCAGAATCATCAAAAACACGGGTGCAGGTACCCCAAAGTACCCCAAAATCCTCAAAACCCCCCCAAAACCATCAAACCCCCCCCCAAATCCTCAAAACGCTGGACGCAAGTACCCCAAGTACCCCAAAATCCTCGAAAACCTGGGGGCAGGTACCCTGAAATCATCAGAACCTCAAAAAATCATCAAAACCACCCAAAATCCTCAAAAACCTGGGTGCAGGTACCCCGGAATCATCAAAACCTCCCAAAATCATCAAAACTCCCCCAAAATCCTCAAAACGCTGGATGCAGGTACCTCAAAGTACCCCAAAATCCTCAAAAACCTGGAATTGTGGGGAATTGTGAGGGAAGAAAAAGGGAGGAAAATGTGAGGGGAGAAAAAAAAGCAGGAAAGTGTGAGGGGGAAAAAAGGTGGGAATTTGTGAGGGGGAAAAAAAAGGCGGGAATTTGTGAGGGGAAAAATAGCAGGAAATTGTGAGGGGAGAAAAATGTGGAAAGTGTGAGGGGAAAAGTGGGGAAATGTGAGAGGAGAAAAAGGGAGAAAAATGTGAGGAGATGAAAAAAGCAGGAAAGTGAGGGGAGGAAAAAGGCGGGAAAGTGTGAGGGGAAAAAAAGGCGGGAATTTGTGAAGGGAGGAAAAAGGCGGGAAATTCTGAGGGGAAAAAAGGCGGGAATTTGTGAGGGGAAAAAAAAATTAGGAAATTGTGAGGGGAAAAATGAAAAATAGCAGGAAATTGTGAGGGGAGAAAAATGTGAGGAGAGGAAAAGTGGGGAATTGTGAGGAGAGGAAGAATGCAGAAAGTGTGAGGGGAGAAAAAGGGAGAAAAATGTGAGGAGAGGAAAAAAGCAGGAAAGTGTGAGGGGGAAAAAGGCGGGAAATTCTGAGGGGAAAAAAAGGCGGGAAAGTGTGAGGGGAAAAAGGGAAATTCTGAGGGGAAAAAAAGGCGGGAATTTGTGAGGGGAAAAAAAAATTAGGAAATTGTGAGGGGAGAAAAATGTGAGGAGAGGAAAAGTGGGGAA